GGTTTTTTAAATTTTGAAAATTCTACTAATTTATATAAAAGTATAAACAAGAAACAAGTAATAAAAATTAATATATATTTCTTTTGTATTTAGAGAAGTAAAGAAACTTGTCCTCTTGTGTAACTGATTTCGATAGCCAAAATAGATGAAAATGGGTTGAAATATCTATTTCTCAATAATTTTTGTTAATGAACTCAATATTTGTCATGTAAAAAAAAGTGGGCATAGGGAAGAGTGACTGTCAATAATTCCTACCTACAAACTGTTTCCTGAGCACTAGTGAGACTCATAGGAGTGGAACTCTGCTTTCCTCAGCCCCTTGCTGAGGACATAAGGCTGAGACTTGATATTTTCAGCCCCTGTGCATTAAACATACCAAATATGAATAACATTAGTTTTGAGAGTAATATAATTTCTAGCTTGTTTTAAGAGGATTGATTGGTTACTGTAATTTAGGCTCTGAAGATACAGCTCTGACAGCGTGCTCCTTCCATGGCACTCCTGCAGTCTCACCACTCCTTTATCATAATAATCCTTGCAAGAACCATGCTCAGGTGCCTGTTCTTTGAGACACAACTAGAACAGCACTAGGCCAGTACAGTATTTCTGTCACTGAATTCACAATTCTTGGAGTAAAAACTCATCTTCCATTTCTGTATGAGATCCCTGAGAAATAAGAAAATGCATATTCTTTTGTCAGTGCCAAGTTACTCTAGAAACACATTATTGTCACTGATAAACCAGACTGCACAGTCCCACTGCTGGGAGAGTGAGGGTGTGGCGAGTGCACAGAACACAAAAGAAGTAAAACATAAAGACTGTTTAATTTCACTGTTCCCCTTTTCTCCCTAACCTGGAAGAAGTACCATTCACGTTTCCAATGCGTTTTCCAATGCTGATTTTTCCCATCAGGCAAAGTTACTTCACACTCTAATGATGTACAAATTAATCCATTCCAGCACAAAACTAGGTATTGTATTGCAGAGAGGCAAAACTGTGGGACACTGAGCTCTGGAAGTTTTAATTTGAGATTCAATAATAAAGAAATAGTATGTTGTAATTTTGTCCCAGAGGAGCTGATTTTGAAAACTTAATTTTGGCATATTTAAAGAAAATTTTTACTGTTATGTTTAAATGTGATTAAAATTTAATATATCATCTGGCACATCTTTACAATGCTTGATCTCAGTGATCTTAGGAGATTTTAACAGGCTGAAAATGCTGCCAAGCTCCAGCTGTAAAGTTTCCATCATATTTTGAAACAGGCTACTCTTCTCCAAAGGTACAGAACTATTCTCTGAAGCTGTATTATGTATTTATTGGTACTCCAGATCATTTCTGTTGGAGTGTGGTGCCCAATATTCAGTAAAAATGTAATTTTTAACATATGCTTCAGAAAAAAAATAAGACAATTTGAATAAGAAATCTGACTTTGAAGATCGGGAACTGGTGTTACAGAGCTAAGAAATGCAAAGTGTTTACATATTTGTCCCCTCAAAAAAATAACCTTGCTTATGCCTAAGGGAGAAAATCATCATGAATTAGAAGTGCTGGACTTTAGAAAGGTATCAGTGCTTTCCACAAATACAGTTTCTCTCTGCAGATTGTCTGTTTTGATGTTCTCACTGGTTTAGAATTGAGGCCAGGAAGACAAAGTCAGTGGCAAAAGGGAAATCTGTTATCTTGGCATGGTCTGGTAAACCCCATTGCACCCATGTTTTGCTCAAAAAAAAAAGCAATTATCAGAAGAATTTTGTTGTATTGGCTTGGCACTACAGTGAAATATTTGAAATATTAATCAGCATATCCTGCCCACATTGCATTTCTGTGAGGAGGAAACCTGGGCATAGGGGTCAGCACTGACAATTAGCAGTGCAATTAGTGGAAGTTTAACAAACCTCCCCTCCCTATTCCCAGTGAAAGTCCTGTTGGAAAGCAGAGGTGTTTGCTGGGGTCTGAAGGCATCCAGCACATTCCAGGAGGGCCTCGGCACCATTTAAAGGAACAGGAGACTGTATCTCCCTTTTTAAACAAAAGGTGTGTACTTCACGGTGCTAAGCACTTCCTACGGATGAGGAGTTACCTCTCTCTGAAGAGAAATTTAAAACTTCTGAGAAGTTCACGAAAACTGCTCAGATTTGTACAAAATCACATCCTATCAAGGCTTCATGATCAGATGAGCAAACCCAAGGGCAGGGCCAGCACAACATTCCTGATTTGCTGTTCCTCCCATGGTGTACAATCCTCTAACCCCTGTAGGGCTCTTCGCTCATCCCTTATTCCAGGTTCAGGCAGCACCCTGCAGGACCAGGAGCTCTCTCTGACCCCAGGTCTGTCAGGAAGCCCATTATTGCTGCCAGGTTACGCAGTTGGGTGGTACCTGTAGGCATGTAGAGAGTAAAGCCACAACAGCCTCCCAGCAGTAGAAGGCGAAAGTGTCACAGCACTAATCACGAGAACAAAAGGAAAAGTGAAAGAGCTTGTCCTGGACTTCATTCATTTCTCTGCCTGTTTTTTCCCTTGGGTCTCTCCTATAAACACTGAGGTTGATGAGTGGTTCCACACATTCAATTCATGGCTCAAGTAAGGTCTGTCAATTCAACCCCCTCCAACTCCGTTTTCACTCCACCCAAATCACAAGTCATCCTAAAGAAAATTAAAAATGTGTAGAGTTATATAATGGAACTGAGAAATAGCACAGTAACTGGACAGGTAGGACTGCTTGGTAGCTCCATGAGCAAACCTGACACTTGTCTCCATTTTTACTGTGGAATCTAGAGGCATAGTGTGTGTGTGGGGTGTTGTTTTTAGTAAGATGTTCTAGGGAGTTATTCTGCAGGGAAAATACTTGCCTGTGTTTGTGGGTACATAGGCAGGTGAATTTAGGAAGGGAAAGGAGTTGAACAGTCTCGCATATCACTGGATTAGCATTCAGCTCCCTTAGACTTGGGTAGCTGAAGAGTGGTTGTCCCTTTCTTTATCACTACTTTGGAAGTACGAAAATGTTGATTCTTTCAGGGTGGTGCTGCTGCCAGGAGAGGTCTGTGGTGTGTCTGCACAGCAGGCTCGCTGGTTTACAGTCCATCTTTGGATGCTGGTGGCCCAAAGAGCCCAGGTGTGGTCACAAGGCAGAGCTGTGGAGGCACAGCCCTCATTCCCAGGGGATGTGCTGCGTGTCCAGGGCTCCAGCCTCGTGCTGCCCCTTCCCATGGGCTGTCCCAGCCCACAGCCTGGGGGGAAGCACAAAGGCTGCTGGCACTGGCACCAAGGAGCTGTCTCTGCCAAGCTGCTTCGGGGAGTTTGCTCTCACACAGGGCAGGCAGCTCCACTGGCCTTCTCCAGATCCTTTAAAGGGATTTTGCTCAGCTTATGCAAAATATTGTGGCCAAAGCAAATCTAATAAATGCTTAGAGCTGGGTTTATGTGTATGTATATGCAAATATAGAAAAACATGTATGCACTTATTTATGTGAGGAATTACCTTCATCTCCTGTTTTATAAGATATAGAAATACTATTTTAAAATTACAAATATTGAACAAAGGGATCCTTGACATAAACATTTCTTAGCCAAAAGGTGCAGCTTACTTAAATGGGAGTATTTATAGAAGTGAGAGCTTGAGCATCAAGCCTAAACATAGTGTTATTTATGATATTTAAATATTGAAGAATGCAAAAAAGTAGCATGATGTAGCTGCCATTTGTAACATGTATCTCAGAACGGGATAAATCTTAAAGTATTCAATATGGACAATCCTCCTTAGGGAAGCCATTCTTATGATATATATTGAGTTTCCTCTATACGGTAAAATTGTGTATTTAGGAAAATCTCTACATTAAGTCTGTTGAAAAACTGTCACTTTCTTATGTACAGAAATGCAGCAGACTAATACAGTACACACACAGCTGAGCTCCTGGTAGCACAGCCTCTGTGTCCTTTCACTCCTTAAACAACCCCAAGTGTGTCATGGCTGGTGTAGGTAACTTCATGAAAGAGATTGCTTAACATGGGCAGATTAAAAACCAATTTAACTGATGGCCACAAACAGAGCTTAGAATTTGTAGTGGCCACAAAGATTTTCTGTCAGGGCATAAAAGCAATTAATCAGTATGCAGAAGGTACTGCCTGCCCCTTAGAGATGCTAATTCTGTGACACTTTGGAAACTCATGTTCTACATTTACTGTTCACACCCGATGGAAGTTAACCAGCCTTAGCTTGAGCTAATGAAATCAAAAGACTGCAAAGTGTCACATTTTCCCATCCCCATGGACTTTAATTTTGTGAGCTTTAGTATCTTTCTGTAAGTTGTTTGACAAGCACAGTGCTGACTGAATATCGTTGTCCCAAAGCCTGGAAAGTTGTATTTATATAGAGCTGCTCTAGCCGGTTTCTCTGCAGAAAATAAAGGGCCTATCACTTTCCTGCTCAAGTATTTTTTGAAAATTCCAGAAAACCCCAAGAATAAATTAAAGAAATTGTAGTATAGCAGAACAAAGATCAAATGTTTCGGCATGTTAGCACTGGGGACTTTAATTTTGTGGGGCTTTTTGTTTGTTTGTTTGTTTTTTTCCCCTAAAGTGCTATAAAAATGTCTACATGCATAGTTTACACGTAACAAGCATATTTTAGTACAATATTCTATTACAGATACTGTAAGAGTAGACATACTAAGACATACTAAGTAAGACATACTACTAAGAGTAGACATTTGAAAGCCCAGGTATTCCTCCCTGCTCACTCCAAGTTAGAACCTAAAGAGAAGCCGTTTCTCTGTTAGAAATCAGAGCAAAAACTCTACGGCAGAGCAATTTCAGCAATTTGTAACCACGAAACGCTGTGGAGAAGCGCGGAACAGGCTCTGGCACACATCGTGCCGTGTCCCTCTCTGTAGGAGAGCGGGCTCTCTAGGAGAGCGGGCTCTCTCTGTAGGAGATGCTCTCTCTGTAGGAGCATCTCTCTGGGATGCTCGCGGCCCCCCGATCCCCCCGCTCGGACTCACCCAGCGCGGAGTCGCAGAGCAGCTGCTGGGGGTGCGCGGGGGCGCAGCTGCAGCACAGCCCGGGGCTCGCCAGCAGCAGCGGCAGCAGCGGCAGCAGCGCGGGGAGCAGCGCGGGGCTCATGCTGCCCTGCCCCGGGCTCATGCTGCCCTGCCCCGGCCTCCCGCTGTCCTCCCGGCCGCGCAGCCTTCAGCACAGCCCTCTAATGCTCGGCGCCAGCATCGGCCCGCGCTGACCGCCCGCGCCTTTCCATCCGACCCCTATTTATGGCCCCGGCACCGGCTCCAACTCCGCCTTCCCGTAAGAACGAGCGCATCATTGGTGACAGCCCGAGCCTACCTTGGCCAGCTGCGGGCCGGCACAACTATTAATAATCCAAAAGCCCGCACAAAAACAGCTTGTGCCAGGATCTGAAGCTGATTTTATGATTTAGCAGAAGAAAGATTTTATCTCGTTGTAGTAGGTTTCTTTCCAGTTTGGATTCAAAAGCCAGTCCTGCGACCTTCTCTATTTTGGTCAAGTAAACAAAGCTGTCCTGTTTTAAGCTCAGTTTTCATTTGCAGGCTCTGATCTTCCCCTGCACTTCTGGGCATTTTCTTGAACTGACGTCCCTGTTTTCAGGCTGGACAGGACTTCATTCATGAAAAGGAAACATCTCAATGCTCTGTTTGTGACCCTTGAACAATTGGTAGTTTCAAGGAATAATTAATTACAAATAAACACTGCAATAAAAGGCATTTTTTAAAAATTAATTCAATCACAGATTTAAAATAATAAGGAAAAATATCCTGGTGTTGTATGTTGGAGGCTCAGCTCTTTCCCTGCATTCCTTATTAATGTCAGTCCTGCTCAGCACAGATCACAGTGTCTGTATTTTCTGGCTGATGTTCTAAGTGAAATACAAACATAAGTACAGAGTTCAAAAATCTTTTTCAACTTCAAATCTTTGGCTGCTGAAGCAATCTGGGTATGTGGAACCTGTAGCCCCCCTCTTTTTATAAAGAAAAATGTTTCATGAGGAAGCAATCTAAAGTTCGATTAGAGAGTAATAAAATACATCTCCAGATTGACATGCAGGACAGGGCTGCCTAAAGGATTGCATGTTTTGTCACTTCCCAAATCAGGCCCAGGATTGAAAATTCATTGACATGACTTGAATCATTTCAATCCAGACTCATGAAAATGTATTTTGTTGAGGCTGAGGTTTAGGTGTAACCAAAGTAGCTTGTTACCTTTATGGAGATGTGTTCATGTTTTACAGCAGCAGGTTTATTTTATTTCTGAACAGTTATACAAATATTAATGCTCTGATTCTTTTTGTTCCTCCCATCTGCCTTGAGACACACTCTGTTCAAAAAGATACGTAGATGCTCAGAATTATTAGAATTGGGTCTTATTTTTAAAATACAGATCCACACTCAGCACTGAGCCAGAAGTGTTGTCACTGTGCCCTGACTTAGTTCACACAGCCATGTTTTGATGTTTTACTTTTCCAGTCTGAAGTTTTAGCATCAAATAACAAGGCTGGATCCTAATCCAGGACTAATGCCTGAAAATAGTTTAGAGCCATTAACATCTCTGCTCTTACCAAGAGGAACCTGACTTCTTTCATGTGAGTGAAGAGGTAAAAAGATGTGAGGCTGAAGCCTTACACGGGAAGTTCAGGCTACGAGAAGGCCCCACAAAGCCCCAGGCAGATGTGTCAGTGGCCTCTGTGCTCAGAGGGTCTGGAACCATTGATTTGCAAGTCTCACTTAGGGCAGTAGGACTGGAAAGTGATGAAGGAATTAATTGGGAGCCACTGATTGGTTTTCATGTGGCATCAAATGGCTGCTGTTATAGATGCCTAACTAGACCAATTTGATTGCTGTTTGCTAAAATTCAAATAATAGAGAAATGTGCTGGGCAAACTGTCTTCTCTCATGTTGAGTGTGCAGCTCTACCTTTCCTGTGGTTGCTTAAGGCACATTTTGTCCAAGGTTCTCCAGAACATGTCAAGTTATGTTCTGCATGTCCTCAAGACATCTAGTACAATCAAACTAACTGTGTAATCAATATAAAAACATTATGCTCAGAACAGAAATTAAAAATAATTTTGTGACAAGTTTAAAATCAATTTACCATTATCTTGTAGATGTAGTTGAGAATTAAATACTTTCACCTGAGTGTGTAAAAGTGTAAAAATGTTAAAACTAAATCTCATATACTAATTGTGCAAATGCCATTAACACATTTTAATTATGATCTTACCTGGTATTGCCTGCAACTGCCCTTGGGATAATTCAGTTGGGTTTCTCGGAGTGTCTCAAAGCCACGTGTACATGGGTGGAATATTGTAGTACGATCACACCTAGAGAAACAAGTGGCCATAGCAGCAGGTCTCAATAAATGTATTTCCCAGTGGTCCCTACCCCTAGCTGGCTTTGGGAGGGATGGGGTGGGACATGCTGTGGTTTTTGAAACCTCAGCAGAACTCCTATTTTCTGGTAAATCTTCATTCTGAAAAGTGAGTTTTGTCAAGTTGCTGTCAGAGTTTAGACAATTACATTGTAGCTTTTGAAAGGGATTTTAGTAGGTCTGTACCCAGAAACATGCTCTCACAAGTGCAAGAAAATGCACTTCTAGCCTCTCTGAGGAGACGAATACTGCCTGTATCTTGTTCTGGTGTCAATGCAGTGCTTAAGTGCCTGTTATCACTGAACAATATCAGCAAGCATTTGGTCTTAGCTTGAGGCTGCATTGGCCTTTTCTATATTTTATGTTGTAGTGGTTTTCATTGTATTAGGAAAATTACTTTTAGGGCCTTTAAAAGGAGCCCCTCTGCTCTGGAGCCAGGCTGGGACAGCTGGGGGCATTCACCTGGGGAAGAGAAGGATCCAGGGAGACCTGAGAGCCCCTTGCAGGGCCTAAAGGGGTTCCAAGAGAGCTGGAGAGGGACTGGAGACAAGGGATGGAGGGACAGGACATAGGGAATGGCTTCAAACTGCCAGAGGGCAGGGACAGATGGGATATTGGGAAGGAATTCCTCCCTGTGAGGGTGGGCAGGCCCTGGCACAGGTTGCCCAGAGAAGCTGTGGCTGCCCCTGGATCCCTGAAAGTGTCCAAGGCCAGGTTGGACGGGGCTTGGAGCAACCTGGGCTGGTGGGAGGTGTCCCTGCCCATGGCAGGGGGCGAAATAAGACAATCTTTGATATCCCTTCCAAGCCAAAGCATTCTGGGATTCTCTGTAAAAAGGACCCCTTGACTCAGCACCCATCCTGTATTACAGTTACATCTTGACCTCATAAAATAAATAAAAAGATTATTCCCAAAAGACAGGAATATTCCTTGACTAACTCCTAAGCACAATAATATTGTATCTGAAATAATACTAGAGAATTTAAAGCCAACATTTTACAAATATAAGCAAGAGGTTTCTGTTTGTATAAATGGACTAACAGTACAGGGCTTCTTTCACTGCACAGTATGTGATGATGGTAATTTTCCTTTAGTTTGATAAGTAAGCCATGATCTCATAGCAAATTATATCATCACACTCATGAGGGATGGAGGGGGGGCAGGATGAAATTGTGCCCACCCTCTGGTTCTGTTCTGATACAGCTGCCACCACTTGCTAATAAGAAACAGAGAAGTTCATTTATCCTGATTCCTTCAATTTGTTATTGACACAGTAGAAGTAACACTTGGCAATTTTTCATTTCTGTCTGCATGAGGAAGTCTGGTGTTAAACAACTAATGTCTGTTTTCTACTGAAATACAAGAAACTAAAGAGGATTGGGGATGAGCCACTGTACTTGGTGAGTTGTGCAATATCAAAACAAGGTAGGAAACTTGACTGCAGGCTAATTTATGATCAGCTTCATCTCTTCTCCAAGGGAATCCTGATTTTGTACGGGACTTCTAGTTCTGGAGGGGCTTTTTGCACTGTGGTTGTCAGGGGCCCTGCTATTTTTTACTATGAGGCATTAGCATCCATCAGCAGCATTGTGGTCATTTATTACCATCACTGTTTCTTTGTCTTCAAAAAGCCCCCAGAGACCTGTACTAAAGCCACTGGGACTCCTGAACTGTGCTGCGTAGGGACTGTCCACACAGCCTTTTCCAAAGGTTTTTGGTTATGATGGGATATTTCACAGCCACCTTGCCATCCCTTCCAGCTGTCCCGTGATCTGGGTCTGCTCAGGCTTTTGCTTGCACTGCCTGCTCTGTGCGTTGCCTTCTGCCAGTCGGCAGAGTACAGGTTTTTATCTGTATCAATCTTATCTTCTCTCCACTGTAGCTAGTGAATCTCATTTGAGAAGGTAGCAGGCAGGATTCTCCACAGCAACAGTTTATCCCTTGCCTACTCCATGCTTTGCTACGATTCTTTCCTCCCTGGTTCCCATTTGGCATTGCATTTACTTCTCTTTCAGTTTACCTAATCTAGTCACAGTCCACATCCTGAACAGAACCTGCCCAATCACGTAGAAAACTCAGAGTTAGAATAATATTTCACAAAATAGATGAGCTTTCAGGGATTTTAAATTCCAGTGCCTCTGTGTGTACTACCTGCTTCAAAAGGAAGGGTATTTATAGCTGTCACCTCTGAAACACTACAGTAAAAAAACCATCCAGTTTATAGTCACAGCAATTGGGGTAATTGTTTTATAATGTGGCAAAATGTTACTTGACTTTAGAGGCAACAGTTTGCTAATTAGTTGGTTGAATGATAGGGATTGATTGAAACACTGATATGCCAGAATCAAAATATAATTTGTTTCTGCAAAGTTTCTGTCTCCAGAACTTCTGCTAGAGATCTGTGGGAACTGCTCTCTTTGATTCACTGCCAGTACACTTAATGTTTTCCCTCTTAGTGACAGTTCCTGTTTTCATCCTGAGCAGCTGTTGAAAATAGAAGACTTTTCTGCCATCAAGATCACTTTGTGTTGATTTGGATACCTGTGATTTTTCAATTGAAAAACCAGTTGTGGGGACAAAGGCGCTGCAGGTTGATTTCCTGATGACAGTGTGGTGTCACTTCGTACACTCAGATCATCTCCAGCCTCGCAGGGATGTCAGGGAACTGCTTGCTGCAGATCCAGGCTCTGCAGTTGATGCTGGTGGCAGCTGGAGGCACAGGGTTCTCAGAACACCCAATTCTGCAC